TATTATCGAACCCTATGGTGGAAAGAAGGAGATTTCAATCCAAAGGCAAATTGGGAAGAAGCAACGTAAGTCCCTTTCCTACTTGTTTTTAACGTTGACTGGATATTTTTATGATCTAGTGAGATAAAAGCCAATTTTTGCTATTCGTATCAAGACTTCCATATAAACTTGCGGTTGGTGTCACCTTGGAAGAATATGAAAAGCAGTCGGACGACTTTAACATCCATGGATATTGGGAATGGGTTGACGGCGATGTTATAATTTATGAATTACCCTCAGAACCGCATGAAGTTTGTATTGGCAAAATTTCTAAGGTAATAGAGGGTGCCTGCAGAAATGTTGAAGATACTCCTGCTGAGATTTTTAGTCTTGGATCGACTCGTAAGCATCGATTCATTAATTCTCTTTCTTTTATGCCCATTCCATACTAATTTTAGTTGCTAAAGGGACATATGCTGACGGTTCTGCAAAAGAGGCCGACAATTCATTTCGTCCGGATAAACCAGAAGTAGCATATCCAGACGGGATTGATAAGAAGGTACCTTGTGTTTTTTCCATTAAACCGTTCAAAAACTGGGGCTTCATATTATACTCTTTTATTTAGACTCGCCCTTGGCCAAATCTTGTTATCGAAGTTGCATATTCCGAGACAATAGATCACGTTACAAACAAGGTGAAGAACTACTGGCTTAAGCCTGACCGTGCCCATGATGCCATTGTTGTAAAAATTGACCCGGTTCCTAATGGTCAAGTACCTACTCGTATGATAGTAAGTTGTCTATACAGTTTGGCAACCTTAATATTCGTATAATATTCTAAAAAATTTTAATTTATTGCAGACATGGCATTATTGCGTTTTAGATAGAAGAACGAGATCCACATTTCCTGCCAAAACTACGGTAATTTTAGACTACACTGATGTTCTTTTTGGCTAATATCAAAAATCTAATATTATAATTGATAATTAGTTTGAATTCGGCACAGTTGATGGGAATGGAAATCTTTTGACTTTTCCACAAGGTGCACGTGTGATAAACATTGCATTGAGTTGTCTATACCACGATGTACATCCTTCTGTCGCAATTCCTGGAGGTCTTCCCGATCCTATATCAATTGATTTTTTTTTAATTCGAAAGGCAATCATGACAGTGCTTACGCCCCACTAGTTCCAGGAAAGCGAAAAGTGACGAGTACCATAATTTCATTATCACATTCTCCCGCTGTCCACTCATGAGTTCTTGCACAGATATAAATAGTTAACATGCTTATATTAAATGTATTATTTGCCTGAGTGATTAAAATTTCATTGATACCATACATGATCGAGATTTTTTGTTTTCTTACCGAGAAATTTGAGAAAGCAGAGTCATGTGATTTTGATAAACTTTTGAACATATCCGCATCTTGTATAAACAATGTCAGACACTCAATCAAAAATCGATTCGTTGCAAGAATT